TTGAATAGAGACTTTAAAACAGTAAATAACAAGTAACACTAGTGACGAAGTCACTGTCATAAAGCATTCATCTAGTTTTAAATTAAAAAATTTGTTGTTCGTATTTTTTTAATGACACAAGGCAAAAAAGAAAAATCAATATATTTATACAAACAAACAAACCCGGAATTGTACCTGGCTGGGTAAATCAATTCATGTTATAAATTATGACCAATTTTTCTCTCGATTGAGAAAAAAATATGAAAAAGAAAAATCAATACAAAATTTCTGTTTTCGCTCATTTTAACCAAAACAAGAGCAAGTTGGATCATCAAGAATCACGGGAAAGCAATTTCGTTTTTTTATGCAATTCACTACGGTCATAACTTTATAGTTGATCTCTTGATAAGAGAACATGTGGTTTTGTCTAGATACCTTGTGCAATGATTATTATTACAATTCGGAAAAAGCGACGATAGTTAAAAATACAAAATTACATCAACTTAAACAATAGCAATGATAATAATGACATGGATCAAGGAATATCTAAAGCCTTTCGAAGATATTATAGAAATCCTTGTGCCTCAAATATTCCAGTAGTGGTATTTGTAGCTTTGTTAAAAGAAGCCAAATTACAATATGGTGAAAGTCTTCCCTTAAAAGGGAATGATATTGAAACGTTTCATTTTTTGACTGGAGAACCATTAGCCATAGACTTGGCTCCAAAAAGGTTGAAGGAAAACCTGAAAAAATAAAGGATCTTATATTAAATAAAAAGTTCATATCTTTCTCCCAAGACCAATGATCACATTGGAAGACTCAATTGATTACCAAATAGAAATGCAAATACTTAATTATAAGGAGTATCCAGGATTGAAAACAATAAGCAATTGAACATAATTGCAAGAGCAATATTAATTTATCCTGATAGTAAAATTCTGGAAACAAATTGGTTACCATGACATATGTAAAGATGTCAATAATTTGGTGTTACAGGGTTCTTTGTTAATTTTATTTTACAAAAATGAAGTTTATGATTATCAACTGGACTTTGTCAAACATATACAACAATTAGTAAAAGTTGGGTTCAAATTAGAGAGTTTTGCAACTGTGCGAAAGTCAAAAGTTTTGCCATAAGTCAAAACTAGTTTTGATTTTTGACTACTGACTTATGATTTAGTTTTGACATATAACTTTTAATTTTTAGTTTTGACTTTCATCTCTTCAAAATAGTTTTGATGACCAACACTAATTCAAATTGACAAAATCTGTCATGACTGATATTCTAATTTTATATGAACAACATATTGATAAAATTGGAAGAGCATATAGACATTCAGTACTGTACTCTTTTGCATTCCTGTACTGTATGGTCTACAAAAATAGAAAAAGTCATACACCAACATATAGTACACAGCACCCCCACCAATCAAATGGATTCTGTACTCGTAACATTTAATACAGAAATGCTAATTTACAGATCATACAGTACAAGAATGCAAAAGTGTACAGTACTGTATGTCTACTGACTGAGTTGGAATGACACTTTTAGAAGCTTTTCAAATTGTTAGAAATCAATCAAAATCTGATATTGTTGGATGTTGTGTTGTAGAAGCTATTAAAGTCAACAGAAATTTGAAAAAACCTCAAGTTTTAGATTTTCTAAGAATGCAAATTGAAGATAATTGTTTAGAACTTGTATTTCTTAAAGCACTAGTTTATCATTATTTTGATAATAAGACCAGGATAAAATTAATTGATTTTCAAATTTTTGATAAAAATAGATCTTCTGCCTACAACACTGACAGTTTAATTAGCAGCAATAATATAAGTAATATCAATATTATAGATAACATCAATGAAGAATCTATTAATTATTATTATAAATATGATTATTATTATGACTATGGTTATAACTATTATCCACATGATATCAAGGATTTAAGGAATGGTTACTATTGGACAGAATATTATGTTGACAGATTGATATGTGATGATACTTGTAAATTTATAAATTCAAATATTGAAAAGCCAATTAATAATATAAGATCATTGAGATTAAGCAGTCATTTGTATAAATGGGTGTTAAGAAAATTCAATCCAGATTCATTAATCACAAGATTATGCTTCAATGATATAATTATATCAAAGGTGTGGATTGATAGAGAGTTGTCACTCCATCCTGAAAGATCAATACCAGGAAGAATGGCTAGTTGTGCATTTGATTTGATTATACATACTTACAATGAATTTTGTCAGAATAATATTCCATTTGAATTGATCCATCTAAATTTATTAAAGGAATCAAACAATATAACAACTTTAAAACCATTTTTCGAAGGGTTTTTACCCCAAATTTTTAATCTCAAACCAACCTTTAAATATAATAGCAACATCAGCACCAGGGGACATGGATTGAAAAAACAACAATTATTGCAAAATCAGCCTCTTTTTCAACTGCTTGATGTTCATGAGAAGAAAATTGAAGTTGAGGAAAGAACAACCTTATGGTTTTCTGAGTTGGAAAAAATTTATCAAGAAGTAACAATGCAATTAAATACAAATACACATAATAATCAGCTCACTTTGAATTTTGTATTTTGTATGAGAAATTTTTGGAATAGGCTTATAGCAGAAACTAATTATATCAACAAACCTAAATCAAAAAAACGAAAAATTGGGACATTGGCACAACTTGGAACAGACAATGGATTGGGAACCAATAAAAGAAAATGGATCAAAGAACACTAAAAGAAAATGGGTCAAAGGTGAGGAACTTTGACAGGGAATTATTAGTATTTTTACTTCTACTATTATTACTATCTTTTAATGCTTAATGGAATATCCTTAATATGATTATATCACATATTCATATTTGTATGTGTATATAACATATAATATATAATATATTATTATAATAATATTATTATACAGTATATGCACAATTATTTAAAAAAAGATCATTTCATATGCTTCTTGTTAAAAAATAGAATTCCACCTTCTTTACACTTGTATAAATGTATTGAAACATTTAAAAATAGTGTTCAAGAATGTGTTACTCTATCTTTTTTAAAAGAGTATGGTATATGATAAATCTTATAATAAAATGATTGAACATTGATAAAATTTGCTAATTATTATTATTATTATTATTATTATTATTATTATTATTATTATTATTATTATTATTATTATTATTATTATTATTATTAAAATAAAATCTCTCTCAAATCCCACTACTTTCATAAATTAATCGTACCTACACAAAACTAATTGAAAGATCTATTATGGTCCATTTGCTGTTTGGTGGAATTTTGCTAACAAAAAGAATTCAAAATACACAAAAATGAGAATTAAGGTTGGGCTTAACAGAGATGAATTTATTATTCAAACAGTTCAACATTACGGGTAGGTGTTTTATTTTTTTCATTTGAATTATTACAAATCATGTGGTGTTAATTTTTGTAGCAACACTTGGTGATTTAAACTGGAATCAGTTTTTTATTAGATGGAAACAACAACTGTTATTGAATTTACTTCACATCTTGCTTCTATGCATTCTATACATCACATTATATTAGGAACATGGAGAAGAATGATGAGATGTGTTGGGGATGCACTAACATAACACTTTATAAAAAAAATGAGTATTTTTATTTTTATTATTACTTTATATATATATATATATATTGCGAGTGTGCAATCCGAGTTTCCTAATTAATAGGTCATTTAATGCTCAACACACAGCCTACTCGCTGACTTACAGTTGATTCTATATGTTTGACACACAGCCTACTCGCTGACTTATAGTCAAGTTTCCTTTATTTATATATATGACACACAGCCTACTTGCTGACTTATGGTCACTAGGTTCTATTTAAATAATTATATCCCAAAGGCGTCCCCTTGAGATGTATCTGAATAATTAAAAGGGTTCCCAACTAATAATTAAAGGTTGGCC